TAAAAACTTAGCTGTTCCAAACTAGAAAACCAGACAGCAGCAACTTTCACATACAGATTCAATCTGATGTCAAAGTTGCTTTTATCTGCTGAAGGTTAGTCATTTTTAACTTAGTATGGTCTAAACTCTTCATTTCTAGAGCTGAAACACTAATTTAACTATTAGTTTTAAAACTCATCCCAAAAGTAGAAGGTAACAGGTTATTGGGAATGAAGTTCTGATAGGAAAAAAAGAGTTAAAAGCTTGTCATTCACTAGTTATACTAAAGAAAAATTAAATGAGAGACCTTATTTATACTCCACTTAGCAAAATTTTACGTGTGGTTGCTTTGAAAAGGAGGTAGTTTTTCCACAGTCATATTAAAGAGCTTGTAGATCTAATATATATTCAGAGAGAATTTTTAACTGCCTTAAACTTAATTTGTACAGATATTTAAGATTTGCACAGTTAAACTTCTGTCTGGCTGATGGAAGTTCTAACAGAAACAAACAAGAGGTTTACAAAGGGGGAAGAAAATCCTGTGTTCAGTGTTATCTCGGGCCAAGCTACAACTGGTAGGTTTGAAAGCTGTGTAATGTAGCTCATTGCAAACTTCAGCTCGCTTGGAAGTTGGTTTGTCTTATCCCTTCCCCTAAATTTGTTGTCCTTTGTGTGTACTAGGAATAAGGAGAAGGGTTTCTGAGCTGTTCCTGTAGTAGGCAGGGGAATACAACATGCTACAGCTGAAGTCACCGGGATCAATAATTGTAGGTGGCAAATGGTGACTGAAGATGGATGTGAAGTCCATGGCACACGTTTATTTTGTTGGGGTTTTTATACTGCACATCTTACTTTAGAAGCACCCAGGCCAATGGACAGGCACTTGAATGTAAACCTACATAGGACATCCCAGCAAAATTAATAAAGGCCCTTAGTGTGCCTCTAAAACCTAAATTTGGCTAGAATATTAGAACACCAGACCTTACTGTGGAAGGCCATTACAGTTAGTGATTTATAGACGTCATTTGCCTTGCCTTTGGATGCAAACTGCTCTTCCTAAGCTCTAAAACTCCAAGGAAACTTCTGAAATGGTGGTGCTATGAGGGGCACCTTCCAGTATTGAATGGTGCCGATGTGACAGCCAAGTTGTCCTTGGTTTGCAGCTCCAGCCCCTCTCCCTCTTGGTATGAGTAGGGAGATCAACTCTGCTGTGCATAAATATTTGGGATTCCATCCTTCCATTCTGTTTAAGTTATTTCTGATCCATTGGGACTGATGGTTGTAAACATGGTAGATTCTTCTTGTCATGTCAGCTAATGATTTGGTGGTTTAGGAAACCCAGCTTCTGAACAGGGATGCCCCTGAGCGGAATTGCAGGTAGGAGAACAGTAACAGAGGCAGCTTGTAGCAGGAGCAACCTGGTATGATCCTACTGGAAAGGGGCCCTTGTTCAGGAGGGGATCCTCTGATGTGACATGTGTTCTTAATAACAGAACTCAGTATGGGGGAAAAAATCTAACTCCAAACCTTGCTAATTGTTGTTCAGAAGGATTTTAGTACCACGGACTTAATACCATTGTTTGTGCTTCCAAGTACCTAAGGAAACAACGTTAACTTCAAATCACAGAATCAACCAGGTTGGAAAAGACCTTTTAAGACCAAGTCCAACCATTCCCACAGCACTGCCAAGGCCACCACTAACCCAACTCCCTGAGGGCCTTGTCTACTCAGTACGTGAGTACTTCCAGGGACAGTGACTCCAGCACTACCCTGGGCAGCCTGTGCCAATGCCTGAGCACCCTCTGGGGATGGAATTGTTCCTCATCCCCATCTAAACCTGCCCTGGTGAATCTTGAGGCCTTTCCCTCTTGTCCCATCCCTTGTTCCTTGGGAGCAGAGACCAGCCCCCTTCTGGCTCCATCCTCCTGTCAGGCAGTTGTAGAGCGATATGGTCCCCCTGAGCCTTCTCTTCTCCAGACTAAACCCCCCCGGTCCCTCAGCCCTTCCTCATCACACTTGTGCTCCAGGCCCTGCACCAGCTCCAGTGCCCTTCTCTGGCTCCGCTCCAGCGCCTCAATGTCTCTCCTGTAGTGTGGGACCCAGAACTGAACACAGGATTTGAGGGAGCTTGAACATCTCTGAACTGTTCAGGATTCAGATAAAGTATTTTTTCCTTCTTTCCTTGCATGAGCTCCTGTTTGCAGGTGGGACCTCGGGCAGGGGCAGGTTTTGGTGTCCATCCCTTTATTCTACAACCAGGTCCATGTGGTGTGGGCCCTGCCGTGGCCCTCACAGAGGGAGGGCCACCCTCTGCACGAGGGCTTGTCATTTTTCAGCCTCATGCTGTCTGTTCAGTTGTGCCACACAAGACCCTGACTGCATCTGCTGCCTTCTGCCCACCGAGTAGCTTGGGAAGGTGTATTGTCACCTTATTTTCTCATCATTTTGTACCTACCATTTCCTTTAAAGACCAGAGTTAGTACTGGAAAAATGTTTTAGACTATGATCCCAACAATTGGTGTGCACAAGCAGGCCTTACATGGAGTCAGTGAGGGGTACTGGTCAGGAATTGTGGGATCAAGTTCATGGTTGAGAGACTTTTCATTCTAAGGTGGCAATTGGCATTTTAACTTGGATTAACAGGGAAGTTTGGGAATGAGCTGAAATTTTTCCGCAGCTTGGCTCTGGTAAGTCCTGTAACTCAAAACAGTAACTTTGGGGGGGTGTGTGGGGTGTGTTTGTATTTATTGTGATAGATCATTTTATAGATTTTTTTGACCTTTTTAACATGCACTATTTAGCATAGTCCTAATGCAGACTTAGTGAGACCCAATATTCCAATGAACACACAAATGTTAGACTGAAGCATCTCAGTAGATTATCTGGGCTAATATTAAACCAGCTGTGATGCTGCTGGTAGGGGAAGGAGTTGTTTTCACAGATACATGTTCAGTGGAAGAGGATTTGGACATAAAATTTTGATTGGCTTTTTAACCTAAAACTCAGTGCTGGAAGACACCTTCCAATGGTGTTTCCTAGCCAAATGATGTGTTGCTCTTTGGTTTAGTTCAGAATGTTTTGGGGGGAACGTTGCTTTTTGTTTCTTTCTGACGAAGGGAATGTAATGTAGAAGTCTTCACTGGCAAGTTTTCTATTCATTTTAAGCTTCTTTGAAACTCTACAGCAAATGGATGTTGTTCTGCAGGAAATCTATCCCCTGCTTTTTCATCAAGCAATCTTTGTGTATGTGCTTCTGAGTCCCAGCTCTGTTCATAATCTGTATTTCAGTGTAAAGAGCGTATTTTGTATTGCAAAAATGGAACCTGTTAGAACTGTAAAATCACTTTTCTTGTGTAGTGAATGTTTTCAGAGGACAAGGTTAATTCTGAAATAACGCAACTATATCTGGTGTAGTTCATGTTGTGAAGCTTTGCTTTTCTAAGATACAAATAAAATAACACTTTCTAATTAAGTCTTATGGTAATTCTTGTCTATGCTTCAGTAGGTGGGACTGAGGAGCTGCTTATGAGTAGCTGTGGTAAGGAGGGTAAGCTGACCCAAAAGGTAATCAGGCTGAAACGTAGATGCAGTATCCCTTGCTTAAAATGCTTCATTTTAGTTCTGAAACCAGGTTGCTCTTTTACTCCTTGTGAGAACCTGGACATCGAGCTTGTCTCAAACACTGCTCACATTCCATAGTGTGTCACAGACAGGAGACTGAGCTGGTTTCAGGCACCATTTGCATTTGACCATAGGAGGCCTTGAGCATAAATGAAGCAAATAACAAGCATGTTGGTTCTCAATACTGTGCAGATAGGATTGTTCTGATCCTTTTGTTCAAAGCTGATAAGCCTCCACAGGAATTGAAAGGATCACTCAAGGATGAGCTGACTCAGAGGATGACACCAGGAAAACAGGGACAACAGAGGGACAATGACCACCCGGCAGACCCTCAGCTTCGGAACTGCTCATGAGCCCACTTAACTATACCCATAGAATCATAGACTGGTTTGGGTTGGAAAGGAGCTTAAAGCTCATCCAGTTCTAACCCCCTGCCATGTCCCACACTAGCCCATGTCACCCAAGGCTCTGTCCAACCTGGCCTTGAACACTGCCAGGGATGGGGCAGCCCCAGCTTCTCTGAGCACCCTGTGCCAGCACCTCAGCACTCTCACAGGGAAGAACTTCTTCCTTATCTCCAACCTGAATTTCCTGTTTCAGTTTGAACCCATCACTCCTTGTCCTGTCACTCCAGTCCCTGATGAAGCTCCCTCTCCAGCATCCTTGTAGCCCCCTTCAGACACTGGAAGCTGCTCTGAGGTCTCCACGCAGCTTCTCTTCTCCAGGCTGAACAGCCCCAATGTTCTCAGCCTGTCTCCATATGGGAGGTGCTCCAGCCCCTGACCATTCTCGTGGCCTCCTCTGGACTTGTTCCAACAGCTCCATGTCCATGTGTTGAGCACACCAGAACTGCTCACAGTGCTGCAAGTGGGGTCTCAAAACGTTCAACATGAACATAAAAGTGCAGGGCTCAGGTCAGAGGGTGAGATCCCACCACCAGTGATACCCTGGGTGAAGAGGACCAAGATGTTGCTGGATCCTTCCCCTCTCCCTTCTTCTCTCCTCTCTTTTTCATTTATTATTGACTAGATCTAAGCAAAAACACGTCATGGGACTTGCTGGTTCACTTGAAGTCATCATTGGTGAGTTGTATCTAACCCCATGCCTTATATTTTGTATTAAGAAATAAAACTGGTTGGTTGGTGTCGTTTCACCTTAATTCAGTGCAAGGGTATCGTGAACTTGGTCATTGCTCCCGGGGGAGAGAGGTTGTCCTGGGTGACTCCTGGATCACAGTAGCTGTGTTGCTCTTCCATAATACGGGCAGAGGAGTTAAGAGCTGGCATGAGCCTCTAGAGAAGGAAGCTGTGTGAGATGTTTTGAGCTGCACTGCTGAAGCAGTACTGCTTCCAAACTGGAATAGTTTGGACCCTTAAAATATGCCACCATTCACCATGTCATTATTTTAAAACATATTTATGAACTATATTGTCTGCCTCCAATTGGAACAAAGAAATTACAGATGTAGCAGGGTCAGGACTTTGATTTCGTACAGAAAGTTTGCTTTTCAAATGATTTGCTTGCCTCAAGTCTTCCAAAAACTCTGCTTTGAGTTTGTTGAGTTCTTCTGCCAGGCTCTTCAGCTCACTTGGCAGGATGTTTTTATCTGAAGAAAAAATTAAAGCCAAACTTTTGACTTCACGCTCAAAGAGGTGGTTTACCAACTTTCACGTGCATCCTGCAACTAACCCTGGCCAGCCTGCTGAATGTGATTGCCTCCATCACCCAGGGCTGGGATTGCTTAGTTTATCCCAAGGGAATGTCACAGGCTGAGTCCCCAGAACAGGCTGCACTTACCTCTGGCTTCCTTCATTGCCTGAGAGACGAGTCGTCTGCAGGTCTGGTCAGCCTGATGGACAGCACTGGCTGCACAGGCAGCTCGATCAGCTTCCTGCCGGCGTGACACAGGAAGGAGGAACACGTGTAGACACATAACGTTTGGTTTAGACTCTCAAGCTTTTGAAGCTCTCTTTGAAAACCTAGACTGGTTTGGGTTGGAGGGGACCATAAAGCTCATCCAGTTCCAACCCCCTGCTAGAACTTCTGCCTCAGAGCTCATCTCAGTCTCCCCTCTGGCAGGTTAAAGCCATTCCCCTTGTCCTGTCCCTACAGGCCCTTGTCCAAAGCCCCTCTCCAGGTTTTCTGTAGCCCCTTTAGGCACTGGAGCTGCTCTAAGGTGTCCCCTTAAGGAGCCTTCTCTTCTCCAGCTCTCTCAGCCTGTCAAAGAGCTATTTCTCAGTTTCTATTGTGAATACAGTTCAGGTAGAACTCACGCACTCCCCATCACCTGGCAGAGCCATCACTGGTGTCAAGCAGCACTACCTTTTGCTCAGCGTTTTCCTCCTTTTGCTTCACTGGATTTTCCAAGGCAGCAGCCAGCAAACTGATGATCTGCTCACTGAGAAAACAAGGATGAACCACATTAACCAGTTTCACTGAAGATTTCTCTTTCGTTTTGTAATGACACCTCAGCACAGGAAAAAACCCCAAATTTTCATTTAAGTGTATGAGGCACTCAACAAAATGATCTTTACAAAGTAAGTTTGATGAAAAACAATTATAACTAAACCTGGAGCCAATTGTTTCCAGGCTTAATGTTTCAGAGAATTTACATAAATTTTCAACACCAGTTTAGAAATGTGGTTTGTTCTGGGGGCAACTCTATAGAGTGATGGCTGTGAGGTCCCAGCCACTGGCATGTATTGTGCATAACTGATAGGCTTCCAAAACCCACCATAAAACCATTTAGGTACAGTAGAAAGCTTCTGCCCACCCATTTATCCAAGCAGTACTTGGTGACAACCCCAGCACTGAGCGTACTTCTCCTCTGAAGTGCACTCCGAACTTTTCAGAATGAGGCTGTTTTGTTCCCAAGCATTTTTCTTGAGATCTGGCATTTCTATTTTGCTTGCCATTAAAAGTATGGTCTGGTCAGGTAAGGGATGACTCCTCAGCCGATTTCTCTGCAAGCAGCATTCAAGTGGAGACTCTAAAAATATCTGGCAGTAGCTCAAGGAATCTAAAAGAACATCAACAGACAATTTTACTTTTAAACTGTTCAAGTCAAGATTTCTGAGCGCAACATGCACAGGAAATGCTCTACACGAATGAGGAACTTCTACAACTAGTTCTGAGCCTGAAAAGAATAGAATGATAGATTCACAGACTGGTTTGGGTTGAAGGGACGTTAAAGCTCATCCAGCTCCAACCCCTGCCACGGGCAGGGACACCTTCCACTAGAGCACGTTGCTCCAAGCCCCTGTGTCCAACCTGGCCTTGAACACTGCCAGGGATGGGGCAGCCACAGCTTCTCTGGGCACCCTGTGCCAGTGTCTCAGCACCCTCACAGGGAAGAGCTTCTGCCTCAGAGCTCATCTCAATCTCCCCTCTGGCAGGTTCAAGCCATTCCCCTTGTCCTGTCCTTACAGGCCCTTGTCCAAAGCCCCTCTCCAGGTTTCCTGGAGCCCCTTTAGGCACTAGAAGGCTGCTATAAAACAGTTTTACCTTCCAGGCTGCTCAAGTAGAGATCAACATACATAGGAACAGCTTTAAGTGACATAGCAATTCCTAGTAATGCAGTAATAAAGCTGGTGCTTGCTATACTGCAGGATTCTAGCAATAAAGAATAACTCATGTTCTGCAAGGGCGCTTAAAGAAAGTCACTTAAAGAGCACCGAGTTTCCTACACAAGTGAACACGTTCTCGCGCATAGGCACAAAGAGCAGTTACATTTGCGAGCCAGCTG